CCCTGGCCTTTGCTCCAGAAAAATGGTCTGTGTGTCTGTCCATACAGACAGTCCTACCACTTTTCGCGCCTCAGGACTTGGAGTCTCATCGTTAGTGAGCAAAGCAGTAATGCGCCGAAAACCAGGTGTCTGGGCTGTGCCCCGCAGCTCTTGTCCCTCGTCCCTGTGGCAGCTCCCGGCTGTGACCTGTCCGTAACCAACAGCAGTTCACAGGGCTCCAACTTGTGCTTTCCAGTGAAGTCGCTTTGTTATAGCCAGTTCTAGTTCTGGGTTTAAACACGGAGGGAAAAGCACCCGAGTTCTTGGCGTGGTCTGACCGTGGTAGCTGGAACCATCACTTTGCTTGCTCTGAACCTTATGCATCAGGAATTCAGCTCAAGATCTCAGGAGTCTGCACAGCGGCTTCACCCTATAGACTCCTCTGGAGCTTGTCTTCATCCAAAATCAAAGTCCCTCACAACAAAACCCAAACCAATTAAACGTACCAGTTAGACTATACTTATAGTGCCCTATTCTGCCTGCATAGAAGTAGAAGAATTACGCGCATTCAAAGCATAAATAGTTTATCTTGGTAACTGATATTTGAAGATGTAGAACTTGATGAAAATGTATGCATCACACAAAAAAGTAAAACGAAAAGATCAAGATACAAAATATAGCATTAGATTGAGATGGTTGAGATATTGGGAGCATCAGCAAATAATTTCAAATAACCGTGGCTAGTATATTAAAGGTCTAGTGCAAAGCATCAATGATATATATATATATGAGCACATAAGGGGATGTCAGTAGGGATGCAAGTGATGAGACATTCAAATGAAAAATGCTATAGATAAAATCTTCCTTAAGTTTGTACACCAGGACTCCTCCATCTTTTTGAAATTACCTTGTAGCCTCAGTAACATTCATTTGTTTTGACAGAAGTGCCAGGTTACCTTTACATTTTCTGGCAGACTATTCCTCAACAAGTCATGGTTTTAGTAAACAGTGGTACTTTAAAACAAGCCAATGTGCCAGAGATCCTGGTTAAGCATTTGAATTGGGTGTATCTGTGTAGCATTACTCCCCCTAGAGTCCACCTTACATTTACAAATTTATAGCAGTATTTCTGATTCAAATTCATTTTCTTTTCAGATAAGGTCTTCTAAATAAGATAAGGTTGACTTTGAACTTGCAATCATCCTGCCTCAACGTCTCAAATGCTGGGATTATAGGAATATATCTTTTTTCCATAGTAAGAACCTTGATTCTAAAAAAAAAAAAAAAATCAGATGACTGAAAATACAGCCCTACCTTGTTTTATCATGTGCACTTTACTGCGCTTTGGAGAGAGTGTTCATTCATTATTGAAGGTTTGTGGCAGTCCTGGGTCAGATCAGTCAATTGGCACTATCTACCCAATGATGTGTTCATTTCACATCTGTGTTTTGGTAATCCTCACAATGTTTCAAGCTTTTCAATTACTATGTCTGTCCTGGTGATCTTTCCTGTTATGATTTTGTCTTGGGCACCACAACCTGCATCCATTTAAGATGGTGAACTTATTGTGTGTTCTAATGGCTCCAGCCTCTCCCCATCTCTCTTCCTCTCTGCCCCGTCTCTGCATTCTCTGGGATGCAAGAGTATCGAAATGAGGCCAATTAATAGCAGTACAGTGAGTAAGTGTTTGAATAAAAGAATCTCTGGTCTCACGTTAAATCAAAGCTGGAAATGATCATGCTTACTGAGGGGCAGTTGTCAGTAGCTGAAGCAGGAGGAAAGCTACACCACCCTCTCATACTCGTTGTTCAACTGCAAATATAAAGAAGTTGTTGAAGGAAATTCAAAATGCTACATCAGAAGAGTTACGAATGATGAAAAACCAAAGAGCCTCACTACTGATGTGGAGAGTTTTACTGATCTGGAGATCAAACCATCCACACCACGCCTTTAAACCAAAGTCTAGTCCAGATCAAGGGCCTAAGTCTTCAATTCGGTGAAAGCTAAGAGGTGAGGAAGTTGCAGAAGTCTGAAGCTAGCAGAGGTAGATTCAAGGAGTTTAAGGAAAGAAGCTGGCTCCATAGCATGAAAGTGCAAGGTAAGCCACAGATGTTGACATGGAAGCTGATGTCATCCAGAAAATCTGGCTAAGATTAACAGAGGACAGTGATCACACCAAACACCAGATTTTCAATGTAAGTGAAAAAGCCTTACTCAGAAGAAGATACCAACTAGGACTTTAGTTATAGGGCACAAGTCAATGCCTACATTCGAAAGACATGCTAATGGTCTTTTCAAAACATCACTGCTCTTTGACAATGTACTCAAGTCACCTGAGCTAAGGGAAATGGCCAATAAGATCAATGTTTTTAGTTCTGCTAACACAAGAGACATTCTGCAGGCATGGTCATGGAGTAGTTTTGACTTTCAAATCTTACTAAAAAATACACTTTCTCACCCTATAGTGATCACAGTGGTCCTGTATGAATCTGGGCAAAATAAACTTTCTGGAAAGGATTCATTATTCTAGATGCTAATGGCAATGTTCCAGATTTGTGTGAGGAAGTAAAAATATTTGCAGTAAGCCGGGCATGGTGGCACACACCTGTAACAGCACTCGGGAGGCTAAGGCAGGAGGATCACCGTAAATTCGAGACCAGCCTGGGCTACATAGTGAGTTCCAGGTCAGTCTCAACTACATAGTGAAACCCTGTCTCAAAAAACCAAAACCGAAACCAAAAAAAAAAAAAAAAAAAAAAAAAAAAAAGCATTAGCAGGAGTTTGGAGGAAGTTGATTCCAACCTTATGGATGACTTGGAGGTGTACAAGACTTCAGAGGAAGAAGTAACTATGGCTGTAGAAACAGCAAGAGAACTAACAGGAGTTAGAAGCGGAGCCTGAGATGTGACTGAATTGCCGCAATCTCAGTATACAACTTGAATGGATGAGGAGTAGGCTTTTATGAATGAGAGGACAAAGTTTCTTCAGAAAGTCTCTTCCCCTGGTGAAGACCGTAGAAATGCCAACAGAAGATTTAAAACATTATACATTGTACTTAGTTGATAACAGGCAGGATTTGAGAGTACCAATTTTAATTTATGTGGCTGTTACAGAGCATCGAACCAAGAGCCTTGTATGTGTGAGGCAAGCACTCTAGCACTAACCTATGCCCCCCATCCTTTTTATTTAAACTAGGGTTAGGGTCTAAATTGCCTGTGTTGGCAAACCTGCAATCCTCTGCTTTGGCCTGGGGCAACAGTGATTCCTTCTAGCATAAAAAGCTTACAGAATTGTGGCTACTTACCATCTTGTACCAGACATCACACAAATCTTTAGATTTTCATAAACTCCAGGGGATTCCCCAACTAAACAGCAGAACTTCCAAAAAACTTTCAAAGACAAAAATCATTCTTCTCTTTAGCTTTTTATGAAAATATAAAGAGCTGAGTAAGAGAAACTATTACGCAGTTAACATACAAAATGTATCCTAGTTTTAAAATGTTGCCTAAGAACAAATCTTTCCGGCAGGTAATTGCTTCCAAAAAAGGAGTTCCAATTGATACAGTCTTCCCCAGGGCAGGCCTCCCAGCAGCCTGTGGTTACTGGAATATCCCTCTCTGCACACGCACACATTCAGGTCTGTTAAATATATCCTCTTCTGCTTCTGGAGTTAGCTGGATGTTATCTTTGACTGGAGACAGGGGCTTTTTACAAGAAACAAGCTTTTCGGAATCTCTGCAAAATATAATGAAGTAAATTTAGTGCTTTTAGGGTACTGATTACTACAGAAGAAATAATCTACTTGGAAAAAAAAAAACATAAACACGTATAAGAAGGGTTATCCCCTTTAGTGTAAGATCTGTCTCGATTCATTACGGAACACATTCAGGTTCTCCTCTGAGTATTTCCAATAAATTTAAAGTTTTACTACTTAGTGTCTCTTCTTACTTTCAACATCACCCTTCAATATAGGTGCTTGGGCACTACTAGATATATACTAGCTAAGGCAGAAAGACTCCAGTAAAGAAATTTTAGTTCTTTTTGCTTGTAGTATCCTTCTCGAGTCTAAGAACCAATATAAATAAAATGAACTTATGGTTGAATCTCATTTACCTCCCCAACTCTTTTGCTGGAAAGCTCTATGTCCATAAAAATTATTAAGATGACAGCACAGGTTATTCTATCTCCTGACAACAAACACGAAACATCAGTTAGTCTTTTTTTCTAAAAGGTATCTAAGAATACTATTGCATCCTTAATTTTCTTCCAGCATCAGTTCAGTATCTTCCATGCAAGAACTCCTGGAGATTTCCAAGTCCCTTTTAGGGTGTTTGTAATATCGAAACTATTTCATAATAACATTTAGACTTTATTTGCCTTCTCCACTTTGCTGACACTTGTACTGATGATGCTAAAGCAGAACTGGGAAGAACTGCCAGCAACTCTGTATGAATTAAGACAGTAACAGGCACAAAGCCAGGCATGGAGGTGCATGCCTGTAATCCCAGCACTTGAGAGGCTGAGGCAGGAAGATTGCCTCAAGTTCAAGGCCAGCCTGACAGCCCGCCATCCCAAACTACATAGTGAGACCCTGTCTTGAAAAAAGCACATATAAAACACTTGCGTTGTGTACCACGGTAGGTGATTATCTCAAGTAAAAACTCATGTGACATGGTTGTTCAAATTTAGGGACTTGGTAAAGGGCTTCTCTAAAATGAACAAAGTAACTAACAGTACTTGTTACCATGGATATTATTCAAGTAAAAATTAGAATTTTGGAAAAATTGTACCTGCCACCTGATAACTTTTCAATACTTGAGACTACTGATTATAATTTTCCCCCTTATATAATGAAATACATCAATATTTAGAAGACAAGTACAATTCAAGACATGTTTCAACATCAAAGTAAAAGAGCCACTGGAAATGCACTAGTGAACCAGGTGTGGAGATGTTTGCCTGAAAGGCGGAAGCAGGAGGATCTAAGGAGCCTAGTGTGGGTAACAGTGAGATCTGCCTCAAAATAAAAAATAAAATAAGAAAAAGGACTGGGGATGCAGCCCTGGATTCAATCCCCAATACTTAAAAACTGAAAGAAAGAAGGGCTTACTGAATCTGGTATAAATAGCAAAGAAGAAAATAAACAATTATCTCAAAGCATATCCAAAACATACTCTTTTCAAATACAAAGGCTATCTATCCTTCCTGTACTGTACTTAATCAAATGATGTCGTAATGGTGAAATGCAGATGCAGGTAAGAATTCAGCTGGGTTCTATTAAGCCAAACAGTAAAAATTTACAGTGTGAAACACTGCCAATCTTCTTAGTTTTTTGTTTTGGAAAAGATAACCATTTTTCATAAAATTTTACAATATTCATATGTGATAGGCCCATTATTGTTATTTTAAAAACGGAAATTATTTAAATGTCTATTTTCATTTCTAAGATAGTTAGAGGTGTTGACAAATACAACCCACATAAAACAAAGTGCTTTCTGGCTTTCAGTAATTTTTAAGACTATAAAGGGAACCTGAATTACTGCTATATGAATTTAATCCTAAACTTTGCATAAAAAAAAGAAAATTTTCCAGTACTTACTTATTTACAAAGTGTTCCCTGTCATACTAGCTCATCTGACTGTGACAATATTTCTATTAAGGTTTAATCCTATGATCCCATGCAAGTTTAAAAAAAAAGAAACTTTTATTAAACACTTCGCTCTATTAAGAAATGTAAGAAACTAAAGTATTAAATCATGCTGCTTTGTGGCTGGTTCTGAAGTCTAACAGAAGGAAATTTTGTGGTTACAAAATAGCTATATACAGGATACAGATGTATATATATATTTTTTTGTTTGTTGTTTTTTTTGAAACAGGATATTGCTGTGTAGTTCAGGCTGGCCTTGGATTCACTGTGCAGTCCAGGCTGCCTTTGAACTTGTGGAGATCCTACTGCCTCAGCCTCAGTGCCGGGATTATAGGCATGCACCACCTTGCCTGGCTAATACAATATCATTTTTTTTTTTTTTTTTGGTACTGGGGATCAAACTCAGAACCTTGTGCTTTCGAGGCAGGCGACAGCACCACTGATCTAAATCCCTGGCTCAGTCCTTTTAAAATAATGTGTGCTGCCTACACTACAAATCTGGCAAATTCATTACATAAAATCAACAATTCTCTTCATTCTGGATGTGATAATTTAGGATAATACAATACAGCACTATGTCTTAACCTGTCTAAAACTATTCTCATCACAATTCTAAGACATAAGGAGGAAAGAAAGCTGAGATGTCCAACACCTAGAAAAATAACCAGCTTCACAGAGGGACTGCAAAGCCACACTGAGGACTGAGGCTGAATCAGAAATCGATTCACAGGAAACTAGAGACGGGAGCTGGGAGAAGGGAACAGGGATTACTGAAAAGAAGTCAGAGTAGGAATGAGGCAACTCACTTTTTAAAACCAAAATTTTTCCAGAGCTCACTGATTTTTATCTGTAAACCTGGCTTGTTCTCGGCATTGTGACGGTTTCTCCTCTGGATGCTTGCCGGCTTCCTGCTCAGCCCACTGACTCTGGCAGGAACCAGAGCTTTGATCTTGGTGGCAGAAAGAGAGTCCAGGGAACTAGATTTATATAGCCCAGGAACCTGAAGAGTAAATGTCTGTTTTAATAATACTCTGTCAAAGCAACTCTCTTTAGTTAACTCAAATTATTCTTTACGCATTGGAACAGAATAATTTATAAGCAACAGGTAAGGATGTGTTATTTACAAATGCCTATTACAGAAACAATGATTATATTAACAGTTAATACAAAAGAATAGAGTGCAAAGTGAGCCTCATTAACTCTCTCAGCCTCTCCTTCCAGAAGCAATGGCTGTTAAGAGCAATGTTCCCATGCATCCACTAAATCATTCACACACACAAAACTGGCAGCATTCTTTCTACACACTGTTATTTCCCTTTTCTTGCTTCCGCTTAATGATACATCTGAGAGATTTTTCCACGTCACACGTAGAACTGAATTTTGAGTAAGTTGCCTGTTCTTCCATGTGGCACAATTTACTTAAATCTCTACTGACGGATTGATTTTTACCTTGTGGACAGTATGGAGCCATCGAAATGTTGCTGTATTTTAGAGCAGTAAGAATGAAGTATATAAAAAACAGTTCTAAAACTGATTAATCTGGCTAGGGTTGCAAAATGGCAGTTTTAAAAATTGGCTTACTGTGGGACAATTCTGAGAAGGCTTTTTGGAAATGCATACGAAAACTGTAGAACATACATGCCTTGGGACCAGTAATATCACTCTATGGAATTCACCCCTACACATTAATCAAGAGTGTACTCAAATATTTACTCACAAGATTTTGATGGCAACGCTGTTTACAACAGCAACAATTCTTTGGAGAAAAATAAATTATATAAACCCACGATGGCATGTTATAGTGATTATAAATAATGAATATATAATACATGAAAAAAGATCTTTATATTGCAGAGGAAATAGGCTTCAACTTAACATCTTGAACACCTACAGTTAAGCACAAATACTCTACTAGGAAGTTTGAAAGTAGACTTTGTAAACCAGAAAGCAAATAGTTTAATTTTGTCTGTATTTCTCTAACAAGCATACACAGCTTCTAAATTTAAAGAAAATTTTAATAAATGTTTTACCTTATTCCTTAGAAGTGTCTCTTTCTTTGAAAAATGAGATAAATGTTGCTTGGAGTTCTGATTACCTTGATTATCAAGTGATTTAGTACTACAATCAGACTCCTAGATTCCCAAGATCAAAAAATAAAGCAGAGTTAGATTTTTTTTTACTGTGGAATTTTTATGCCAACTAACCAATGTTCAACAAAATGGAAAATAAATAGAATGAGAACAATCAGTATAAATAAAATTTCAAGGAAAGAAAATAAAAACATAGGTTAGAATTATTAGAAGAAAATAAATGTCATATACAAAGGATGCTATTTACCAGTTTCACTGAAGGATGTAAGATGATTTAGATGCAGAAATAAATCGTTTATATAAAATGTATTTTTGAAGGCTTTGCTGAACCATTTGTGGAGCCTGTGAAAATGCTGACTCAGAGAAAGCTAGTCTCTTACTGTAACAGTTCTACCCAACTTTGCTGATTGTTTTCATAAATTACGAGGTACCAAAAGCAGAACCAGTGCAGCTCTAATCCTCTTTTAATTGTGTAACATGTTCAACATTAAAGAGAAAAATAGCACAGATTAAAATTTAGAAAACTTTACATTTCTCCACTTTTCCAAGAGGATTTAGATAATTTATCTATTATATAACCCTAATATTCCTTGTTCAGAGCTAACAGTAGGGGTGACACCATTTACTTACAATAAAGATCATAAGGTCCCAAGATTACTTCAGCCTCCAGTAGGTTCAATAAACTTGATACAGACTTAACCTACGGCTGCCACCTTTCACAGTGAACTACCAACAGAAAGCCCAGTATAGAAACATTTTCTTCAGAGGCATATGATGAAAACTGATACTCAAAATAAAGCCTCAAGACATTTTCACTTCCCGGAACATTTTTTAAATCAAAGATAAGGTTAATATTCAATTGTTTGAGAATTAATAATCCTAAGGAGAATTTACTATTAGCTACCAGAGCAATGAGTCAATGAATGGTTCCTAGGTTAGTTTATATTTTGGGTGAGGTGGGTACATATCTTTATGAGGTTAGTATAAAAGATGGTTAGCCAGAAGACAGGGTATGTCTTTTCTTGTGCTGCTGGCAGGACCAGCCCAGCCTGTGGGCTGGCAAAGCTTCTTAGGAAAGCATGGCCAAAAGCTTGCAAAGTAAATGAAACAGGAAGAAATACTTAACTGAGAAAAGAAACACTTAAGCCAACATACTTAAATCATCCTTGCAAATAGATGTGTCTATGAAGGACATTTAAGAGACAGCATCTGTGGTGGTACCCAGATGGCATCAAGAGGAAATGCAGCATGGTGTAAAAGCGTGGGGGGACGGGAGAGGGGCGTACTAAAACGGAGGCGCATATTTAAAGAAGCAGTCTTCTAAACCAGTAAGAACAGTGAGAAACTGTAGCCAAAGGTTGGGCTTGAGATGCTTCCAAAAATATAGAAGATGCTACAGAAAGCCTCAGGGTTGAAATATATAAATCTCCAAATAAAAACAATTTACTTTCACATGGTAGCTTGGCTTTCACTTCAATTTGAATCCAAAGTAACTTGAAACCAATACAATTTTCTTTTTGATAGGTATAAAGCTGTACTGATTTACTAAATGTTAATATTCAGGAGTATCAGACATTAAAATTTTGCCAAATATTACAGTGGTTACAATTCTTTCAACTTGGTAATATTTGGTGAAGATGTTATATTGGTAAGTTTGAGGTAATGCCATTATGCTACTTTAATGAAAGATATAGAAGAAAAAAGTAGTTAGGATGCTTCTATTAATTAAAAAAAAATCATTTGTGTTAGCATTTTTTCGTAAACTAAAGGTTAGCAGAAAAAAGAATAAAAACAAAAATGCTTTTAAAAGTTCTAAAACTTAAGGCAGACAACCATACATTGTGGGGCCATTTCTTTTTTTCTTTTTTTGGTTCCAGGGATTGAATTTGGGTCCTTGTGCTTGCGAGGAAGACGGCGGTACCACTGAGCTAAATCTCTGGCAGGGCCATTTCTTTATAAAGTCTCATAACTGAATTCAAAGTTATACAAAACTAAGGATTTAAGTAGTAAACTTATGCTATTTTTTCATTTCATAGATTATCATTCTGCTTAGATGCGAAATGTGCCACAACTCAAGTTCCTTTCAATGGAACGCACAGGGATTCGGGAAGCATAATTAAATGTGCAGGAGTTGAAAATATGAAAGATATGGAAAAGTCCTTCAAAATGAATAAAATGTTAACTTCCTACCTAGTAGGACTTAGAGTAAAATGCTAAGATAGGTGGTCATTTACAGCATGTAGGCAGTTTCTTCAATTGTCTAATACCTGATTTTCTCTTACATGTAAATTGAAAACAAAACGCATCCTGATCTGACTCACCTCTGAATCGGAACCCTTACTAGAAGGCTGAGACATTTCTGATGCATTTAAACTGCATGGTGAGAATTCCATACTTTGCTGAGACTGTGAGGACAAATCCACTTCACGCAAGGACTGAGATTCATCACCTGACTCATCACTCTTGGACTGAGACGTATCAGACAGCTTAGCGTCTTTAGGCAGAGAGGAAGGAGAATCACTTTTCCTTTGGAACTGCTGTAACGCTGTGCTTGGGGGGTTTGGAGAGGTGCTCGCAGAGTCTGAAAACTCTCTGAGACTTCCAGACCAACTGAAACAACTTCTTAGTGTCCCCAGAGTGGGTGGTGAAATGGTCCTTGTGCACGTGCCTGTCTTAACAGCCTGAGGCTCTTCACCAGCAAACACAGTCACATCATCTGGACTCCGGCCACCTGAATTATGTGCTGCATTGGTATCTCCTAGCTTCGTGCCATCAAGGTCTGGGCAATCTGATTCACTGAGATCAGTCACTTTTTCTCTGACAGCTGTTTCACCTAGAGGCTGGAGGCTTGCCTTCTTTGATATACAGGCAGAGGAATCCAGGGAACTGCAAAAAAACCTAACAAAACCCAAGAAAAATGGATTATTGTAAATACAGGATGTCAAAATGGAACAATTCTCCAGCATCTTTAAACAGTCTCAAAATAGATTAATTTCAAAAATAAAGGCAATATAGATCTTGAAATAGAATCTAAGTTTAAATTCTGATTATGATAAAATTCATTCAATTAGAAGTGTGCTTATATAGTGAATTTTTAGACAAGATTTTCTAAAAACGGATGTCTATATATACACATGCATTTGGAACTTCTTTAGTATGAAGTTCATTATATAGATGTTCTTTCCCCAAACCCTTTCAGCTCCCAAACAGAAAGTAAGCTCTGAGGGCAGGCGCTAACCACGTCCTTGTATCCTTCACAGTACCTGACACAGCAGCTAAGAGTAGTCAAATATATGAGCAGAGATGGAAATATGGCACAGAAATAACAACTTTAACTACTGTTTCATATTTTACAAGAAGCAAAAATAATTAGCCATTTATCCCATTGATGATTTTTTTGGAAACAGGGCCTCCCTGTGTTGTTTAGGCTGTTCTCAAACTCAATGTAGCCCAGGCTGGCCTTGTACATGGCGATCGTCTTGCCTCGGCCTCAGTGCTGGAGTTATGGGTGTATGCCACCACACCTGGGTGATGAATATTACTGAGGAGATTGAATCAAGGAAGAACTATTAGGCTTAAAAAGAAAATCCCAGAATACCTGACATATAGATATGAATTTTAATGAGACTACCTCCCTAATAAATGCTGTATCAAATTTAAGAAGAACAGGTATTTATTAACTGTTGGGGAGACATTTAATATCCCCAGATAAACTGTGTGGGTGCAGGCAGGAAGGGGGACTCTTTATTAGGCTTTTAATCCAACAGAACACGTAAGATCCTAAGATCTGACCACAAACTCACCTTTAAATTCACGGTAATTTCTCTGATACCCATGCATCATTTCATGGGTAAAGAAAGAACCCAGGGTTATAAAATTAATCAGACAGAGAACAGAAATGAAGCCTAGAACCCCTCTCACCTCTCGGCTGCTCTTTCTTAATTAGCTTATGGTACTACTTAACTGATATTTTATTGTTAGACCTCAAGGATAAAATGAAATATTTCTAGGATAAGCATTGATGTAATAAAAATTAAGGCTTAGAGAACAGGCTTCAAAAAAACATAGGCCGGAGACAATGCTTTGCACGTTTAACATCTCCTTTCAGCTGCACTAAAGAGCGAGGGGTGGTGATGGATGCGTGCAGGTAGGTCAGTGAGTAGGCACTGTGCTGGTGCCCCACACACTGTGTGTCCGTTGACCTGCCCCAGGACCCATGCATTTGTTTGTCCGGATTTCAGTAAGAAATGCTGGGGAAGTTCAATGGCACGCGGCAGATCACTCAGTTGGTAAGATGACAACGAAAATTCAAATCCATGCCTGTCAGACTGTTCCCATCAACTGTGACTACTCTGTCCTGTCACCTCTCTGGGACAATTTAGCCTCAACTTAAGATCATGAGAATAACATCAACTCCATGCTACCTCACTGTGCTTTGGTTAAGAAATGAGAGAACATGTAAAACCATTTTGAATACTAATTTAATAATAGTTAGCTATTATTAGATGTTGCTGTATAGTCCTGGGCAGAAAAGGACACATCAAAGACTTACTTCTAACTATTATTTCACGGGAAGTTGATGGAGAAAATAATTCTTTCTCCAGGCATCTCTTAGTGTTCACTTGAATAGTTTACTAGTGAAACATTCAAATAAGCTATATAAAGTAGCTAAGCACAACCTCAAACCTGAGATTTCCTTAAGCTTTCAGTGACTCAACAGGTAAGACCTGTGGCGACACACAGCATTATTCTTCTTGGCCATCTCCAAAGAAAAGTTAACACTGAGCACCAGAAAAGGGAAGCTCTATTCTTGCTCAAGAGGAAAAGAAAGGAAGTTCCAAAAATGTCTCCAGAAGAAAAAGGTCAACTTTCTGTTCAGCGTGTATGTACCAGTGTCCATCTTTTATGGCGTACTTTTTCATTATTCAATGTGAATGAAGATCTCTATGAGGTGACTGGCAAGACAAGCACTGAAAGGATCACTTAATGGTATCATATTTTGCCTCGAGAAGACCTGATGAGAGAAAGGTTTGAAACATCACCTACAGGGAGGCTGAAGGATGACCAGGGGCTCATTCCTTCAGACCCACTTCCTAATGTGTGGCTTCATCTTTTGGACATGAAAAACAGAAACCAAAAAGTATTTATTCTGAGTCTTCCAGAAGAACAGAGGTGCTGGCAAATCTTCTTTAAGAGCTACTATATTATGCCTAGTTAACTTCTCACATTTACATCTCCTCTTGCAGAGCGTGGTACCCGCTGTGGTTTGAATGTGTTCTCGCAAACTCATAAATTACTAGCGTTTGGGGAGATAACCAGGATGAGATGAGGCCATGAGGATGCGCCCTGAATGGCACCAGTGGCTAATCAGAGGAGAGCTCTGAGGTAGCATGAGGTCTGCCTCGCCCCGTGAGCCCCTACCACCCCACACTGCAGCAGGGTCCATACCACAAGCTGAAAGGGTGCTCTTGGACTCCTCAGCCTCTAGTACTATGAGCCAAATGAACATCTGTTTCTCGTAAATTACTCAGTTTGTGGTATTTGTTTAAAGCAAAGGAAAATGGACTAATGCAGTACCACCACTCAAAGCCAGTAACTATTCACTGTGTGTTTTTCATCTATTGTTTATCAGGCACTGTCTCAGGCAGTTCTCGCAATGGTCCTGAGGTTGTTATAACTTAGCCTTATTCTTTCTTTTTCATTTTTATAGGCTGGGAGCTAAATGAATAGAATAATACTCTCTTATACAGTACAAGCCCATTTCAATGTTCCAAAGTTTAATCAACAGATCAGAAAGCTGCCTGAACTGAACTCAGCACTTTGGAAAGCCCCATTTTAAAAAGAGGAAAGTGAAACACCCAGAAGGTAACTTGCTTAAGTCAAACACCTCATGAATGAACATGACAAGATTCAAACCCAGTGGACTGACTCTGGGGTCTAAATTCCTGATCCCCAAGTTATACTAAACTCCGAATCCCCAAGTCATCACCATTTGCAGGGGCTATGGCAACAGCATAAGCGATCTTTTGTGTTCCACTTTTGGCCCCTCCAAGCCCATTTTTCCCGAGTGTTCAGAATGATCTATCCAAAGCAGGAACTGAATAACAACTTTCCCTCAGTTAAAGCCCTTCACACGTTCCCCTCACCTGTAAAGAAGGCCATAGGTTGAGTTTGGCATATGCAGCTTCCATAACCTGGTCTCCTATCTGCACTGTCTTTCCCCAGCTTGCATTCTGGCAGTGATCAGCACCAAGGTTGCCCCAGGCCCCATGCTGTTCCCCACCTCCACGTCTTTGAGTAACTTATTGGATTCTGCTGAGAGGAGACCTGGCTCCAGTCTCGGCCTGCTTTACCTTATCTTTCATTTAAACCTCATTCGTGACATTCAACACCCACCCCTTCCTGCTCACCCTTTCCACCCACTGCCTCGGCACTCGATGCTGCCTTATTGCCCTCAAAACATTGTACATGCCTTCATCGCTACACTTACTCTACTAGATGAGAAACTGCTTGCGTACTTACTTTTCCAACTGGACTGCAAGTATTCCAAGAATAAAAAGTATGTATTTCTTATTTTTGTAACCAGAGCACCCAGCATGGCATCAGGTTTGTAATATTACAATTCTTTAGTTACCCATATTCTAATATATTTCTGAAAATATTTTGTAAAATTGTACAAAGCCCTCTAAGAGATGAAAAAGGTAGAAACAACAAAAAAGAAGGAAAATAACAGAATTTCCCAAAGCAACAGAATTTCTGCAAAGCAAAATGTGATGGCAAGGGCTGTGAACCTCTTATTTAATTCTGTATGGACAAATAACAAAACTAACAGCAGCTGATGGAAACAGCAATACATTTAGGTCAGATCTAAGACTCCTCAGTTTACAAAGAGCTTATGCCCCGATAAACCCATCATAAACTGAAAATATTTTGTTAAATCTGAAGGTGCATTTAGTACACGTAACCTGTCAAACATCCTGACTTAACAACACAATGCAGCACAGAGGATCAGTTGCTTCCCCCCATGATCCCAAGGCTAACCAGGAGCTATGCCCGCTGCCTCTGCCAGGTACCTTGAGAGAGGAGGGCACTACAGCTCATGGCCAGGAAAAGAAATAAATTCAGAATTCAAAGTACAATGCTAATTGAAAGTGCATCACTTTTATACCATCACAGAGTCCAAAAATCCTAAGTTAAACTATGATATGCTGGGGACTGTCAGTATGTGATATAACTAATTAGGCCAAAACAGGTCCTACCTTTGGAGCCAATGTTAATTGAGACAAAATAAACACCAGTACAGTACATAATACAACAGACAAACCAACATTCTGAAGATGTCACTGTACCTGCTTCTGGTCCCTGGAACTACAACTGCACCACTCTCTTCGTTTTTTCTCTGTAAAAATGTTGCAAATTTATTTCTTGTCCTAGGCGGTATATTTAAGCTTTCTGTGCGAATACTTCCATTTCTCAGATCAGGCAAAAACATTTCAGAAGAGTTCAATGGTTTATTATTTTCATAGCCATTTATCTTGGTCTTCTTTGTAAATGAAAAAGAATACTGACTCAACAGATCATCTTCTGAGAGCTCTTCTAAATAGAAACAAAATTACCAATAAATCTTTGTTTTATCTACAGTTGGAGATCTACACTTGATTTCAAACTATATTCTACACTTAAAGGTAAAGATTATTTCTGAATCATCTTTATGTTTCTTTTTAAGTATATTTTTAACTATGCCTTACAAAAAAACAAAAACAAACAAAAAACAACAAACCAAAACATAAAGAAGATTCAAAAGTAATTTCCCTAGCTGTTTTAAAATTTCAAAAACTGCCAGGCTTGGTCGAACATGCCTGTAATGCCAGTAGTTGGGAGGCTGAGGCAGAAGGATTATTATATGTTGGAGGCCAGCCTGGGCTATACAGCGACTTCAAGGCCAGCCTGCACTATGTGGCAAGACAACCCTGTCTCAAAAAACAAAAAAATAAGAAGAAAACATAATTAAGATTCAATGTCAATTACAAGAGCAATTTATCTATTCCATATGGGTTTTGGTCGTTGACTACCATGTAGCTGAAAGTAATTTGAATGTTCTAGCTTTGATCCTCACACTAGACTTCATCTTATTAGAAGGTTGTTAGCCCAGCTCTTTAGGAGAATCCCATTAAGCTTGTATCTTGAGTTCAGTAAGACCTCTCAGTGTCTCTCATACTATCCTAGTGGACAGTGTAAAGCAAAGCCCATTGTACTAGTAACGTGGATTTGCAACAAGTTGTACAGCCCAAGAGACTATTGTTGATTGTTGATCTGAAAAGAAGCCTGTCTCACGTATCCTAGATTTCTGTATTTGCTAATTCAATTACACATGCTACACCAAACCTACTGTAACCAAACTTTGAGACATAGGATGCCAATTCCCAAATGACCCATATTAGAGATATATAAAGATTCAAAATAGAAATATAATGGTACTCAGCAGCAATTAGCAGAATGATTATAAACTCAACAAATTCCCCCCCACAGAAAAACCAAACAAAAACCAAGAATGCTCCTTGCCTTGAAAGTGCAAGGACCAGAGTTTGATCCTAGGTACCAAACAACAAACCAAAAACAAACAAACAAACAAACAAAAACAAGAATGCTAGCGGAGTAAAAGCTAAAGCAATTTTAGGTGCTTTACCACCCTAGATGGGGGACTGAAGGTGCGTTGCAACTGTAGATAATTACTGCATCTTGCGGTAAGCAGACTTCACCTTAAGAATCATACAGACTCAAAGAATTCCACAATTACTAAAAAATGGTATTACAACCAAAGTACTCAATGGATGAGGAACTTGTTGGCTGCGTGAGAAATTTAGAAGGGTTAAAGGTAGTACCTCTAAGTATCCGAACAGCTGTCACATAAAATATAGACTAACTCCAGGATTTTTGGTTTGTGGGTCCGTGTGTGCACACACACGCACACTTCAGGGACAGACTACACTGGCTAAGTGCTAGCTGTACGGAAGCAGACTTAGTCTGACTAAAGAAACTTACTGGTAACGAGTCATCTACATAAAATGAACTATCTCGACAGTAGTAGAACAAAAGTGAGGAAGTATTGTGTATCGTTTACTTGCTGTACAAAAGGTGTTTTGATATGGTATCTTATGCAACACATACAAAAACTTGTGAAACAGGAACATCAATCCCGTTTCATATGAATAGAGGAAGGTTCACAAATTTTATGAGAAAGATTCTGGTTCACAAGGAATTAGAACATTCTGGCCAATTGTGCATAATCTGTACCTAGTTAAAAAATGAAAGTATGAATTCAAAATTTAAAAAAGGCTTTGCTTTATTTTTGTTGCTAATCTTTCATTCATTGATGTAGTTATCTGAGGGAAGGAAATAAAAGGAAAAGGAGACTATACTTATTGTACTTCTAAACAACTTCTAAGATGAAAAAAAACTCCACTTCTTAAAGCCTGGTTCTCCATTCTCGGTAGTTTTGTTCAGTGTTTTACTGGAGGTTCTAACAATAAAGATACTAAAATGAATGCAGTTTTATATAAAATTAACACAAAAATCAATTGTATTTCTATAAACTAGTAATGAACTATAAATAGAAATAAATACCGTTAGTTTTTTTTTAAGGTAATAATTCCTTTTTTTTTTGGTATCAGGGATTAAACTCTGGCTCTTGCACTTGTGAGGCAGGCAGTGGAACCACTGAGCCAAATCCTGAGCAGAAATAAACATATGAGAAAAGCAACAAAAACCTGAAATATAAGGGTGAATTTGGTAATAGATGGGCAAGATCCATACACTGAAAATAACAGCATTAAAAAAACTTAAACTAGTCATTCATAGGAAAATGGTTGCATAGAGGCCATACTCTTATGTGACATAAGGCACATGTGTAAATACTGAATAGTTTCTCTGTGTGAAAAACAGTGCAAATTGTATAACTGTATACAAACTGTATAACTGACAATGTGAAATAGCAAGAAAAGGCTGAAGGTGTAGGGGAAGTGGGAAGGGGAGGGGAAAGGAAAGAAGGGAGAAGAAAAAATATGAGAAAAGGAAAAAATGGAAACAGAGTCTTTGTAAATAGGGGAGGGTGGAGGGGGTTGGGAGGGCAAGGGTATGGGGAACAAATGAGAACCAAAATACATCACGTAAAGGTACAAGATCCCAATGATGAACGTAACCGCACAGTAGACCTAAAAAGTACCAATAAACTCAATGAGATAAAAAAAAAACCAAACAACAAAAAAAACTTAAACATCAGAAAACTCAGCATTGTTAAGATGCCAAATCTCTCTACACTGATCTAGATTTAATTTAAAATCTCCATGACCATTTTTTAAAAGAAACTGATAAGCTAATTCTTACGCTTAAATGGAAATAGGAAGAACACTCAGCAGATTTATACTGATTTCAAGGTGTATTATAAAGCTAAAGTAGAATAAGAGTCCACAAAAGACTCACACATAGCCCACTGATTTTACACATCTGTGTAAAGGCAATTAAATGGGGAGAGGAAAACTTGTAACAATTGGGATTGGAACGAGCAAACCAATACATAAGGAATCTTGATCCTTACCTCGCATCATGTAAAAAAATTAAAATGACCACAGATCTAAGTCTAAGAGCTAAAACCATAAACAGGAGAAAATCTCTGAGACCTTGGCACATTCTTAAGTATGACCAATACTTGCTGGTATCTTCCCTAAATGAAATACATACCGCTTCTTGGTCTTTTCACCATGGATGATTTTCTTGGAAGATTTAACCCTTTAGTACTAATCACTTGTTTAACGCCCACCGTACTTGGCTTTTCTTCTGACTTTGTAACATCTGAAACAATATTCATTTCAAGTGCAGGGCAGTAATTCCTATGCCAAATGCTGTTAACAGCAGCTGAGTTGTGACATGCTTTGTCGTCCCAACTACGACTTCTTAATAGGCAAGGCTAAAAAAAGGAAAGGGAAACAGTTATTCAGAGGAAAATTATTCACTTCCCTTTACATGAATATGAAAAACACAATATGTTAAATTACCCTTAAATATCTGTCCATTAATATTTTCTACTTGGCTAGTTTTATAATTCTCAAATAAATGTATCTTGTGTTTTCAGGTCTGTTTCTTCTTTAAGATGAGTCAAGCCACCTGGCTGGCTCATTTCCAAGAAAAAAAAAAAAAGCTTCCCAAGATGAACAGTACAAAAGTAACTTTGGAACTAAAGAAATGTGGCCAGGAAAAAAGTATCTTTAAAATGAGTTATTTCAATATTAGTTTTAAAAAAATCACCTGATAATTTGCCTTCAAATAGTCATTTAAATATCTTTTAAAATTCACCTGACAGTTAAATTATGTATTTAGGGTAAACTCTAGAAATTGGATGAATTCAAATCAAAACATTGCAGGCTATAAAATACTGGTTTCTATTAGACCCAGAGCTGGTACCATCTTTAGTACATAATATGAACTAAAAAACAGAAAGCTATTTTAGTCTCATTGAGTTTGTTACAAAACTTTCTCAGAACACATTGAAGAAAACAGAATAGGATTCAAAGACACTAGCAGGGCTGTTCATTAGATATGTGCTAATTTATGAATAAATAAAGACAGAATTGTGCTTTTAAAGGTAATGTGTCTAGGTTTGGGTTTTCAACTATGCCTTATATCAAAGACACTGACTAGGGTGAGACGAGAAAAAAAGGCATCATATGCTTGGTACATTCATAGGAAATGCTCAAGACTGAAGGTTTGATAATATGTAACGCAGTCATTTCTTTAATGTTACCATAGCGGTGTCTGGATTGTAGTCATCAATCTGTTCAAAAGTATTTATATCTTTATTTCCAAGTGCTATTTGAAGAGCTGTAGAGTCATCAATGTATCTAGGTTTGTAAAATTAAGGAAAAATGTCTTTATTAACAAACCAATCAAATGATGCTGTTCTAAGATTGGAAAACATTGTCTGTTGTTGTCAATTCTTAAAGGTTTATGACTTAAATGGATCCTACTTACTTTCCACAGCACTGTTACTGAATCACAGGCATGGTCTGCTGGTCTCTACTTGTCCCTGCAGGAGTTGGCCATCTTGTAAAGCCCTGTATCACCATCTGTCCTCCCTTTCAAGGGACACTGAGAGAAAGTCTTGGCTACTACCTAAGCAGTGGGGTCTTGCACCAGCTTGAGTGTTAGTCAGTGGCCAGTGGCCATTGGGAAGGGCATCCTCTCATGGTGCATTCCCATGCCACAAGGACATCTCCCAGGTCCCACTTCTGCAACGTGTATCATAAGCCACTGACCCGGTGCCTGCTGCTGTCGAGTCAATCAATCCAAGTCATCACACGCTATAGCAGATGACATTCAGGCTTACACAAATAGACTTGCCTGAAGTTCTGGGAGTTCAAATGAACAAAAAGGATACTGTCCAGCATAGGTTAGTGTTTCAGGATCAATGTCATCTTCATAGGCATTCAGGGGGACAAGTTTCCTTTTGACGGGATCAAAAACTAGTTGATAAAGAAAAGTATTGTTGGCTCGAATGAATCCTTTGATGTAATCCTCCGGCACTGTTATATTCATCTTGAGATAATGCCCAATTTTCTTGATAACCTAACAATGGATGCAAACATTTTTATCTACAACTAAAAAACAGGAAATTAAAGAACAGAATCCCTAAAACAGACTAAGCAAGAGGGGACTGAAATATTACTTTCATCTACATTAAAAAATTGTAGCAGCAAACACAGTCTTGTTAGATCACTTAAGATTTTAATTCTCTTAAGTAGTGTTTTCCTGGTTTTTCTATTATTAACCCAATTAAGTTATACGTCAAATTTATGTTCCTAGGCATAACTTCAAGCTAAGTTATCATTCTCAAAGTTCATTTTATCCAGAAAAAAAAAAGCAGTAAGAAACTGGAGAAGAAAAGAACTCAAAATATTCTTAGACCACATTTCTAAAATTAAATCCACATTCTAACTTCAGCTGGCCATACTAAAGATATCTTAAATATTAGTTATGCACTACATAAAGATGGTTCTATCAACAGCAGACTGCATATGCAAATGTAGTCCCTTAAGATTATACCACTTAGGGGCCAGGGATTTAGCTTAATGGTTCTGCCACCTGCCTCGCAAGCACAAGGTCCCAAGTTCGATCCCCGGTAAACAAACAAACAAAAATCACTTAGTGATGTCATAACCACCTTAGCTTATCTAAATATACCAAATCAGGTCTGCACAATGACAAATTGCCTGAGGACACATTGCTTAGAATGTGTCATTATTAAGCAAGGCATGACTACTTTTTAAAACTCATAGATGAAAAAAACACCTAGCGTGAAGATCACGGAGTCACAGGCCAGCTAGGGATGTTTCTCTATTTCCAGAGAAGCCACCATCTTCCAACCCAGGGATCTGTTCACAATATCACAGCATTTGCATCCTGAGAACTCACACTTTGTACTCCTGGAAAATGGGATCTCTACTCTGCAAATCCCAAGGGTTTCAGAGAACTGTCCAAGTAAGCTTCTTTAAAGTGGGTTTATTTTATATTTTACTTTTTTTGTGGTGCTGGTGATGGCATCCAGGACCTTGTGTATGCAGGTTGGTGTTCTCCCACTGAGCTACAACCCCAGCTCCACTGTAGGTTTATTTATTAAGGTAAAGGCATTAGAGAAGCTACAGTAGTGATGTTCAGTGTCTTAGTTTCTCAGAGAATACATCACCCGTTACTGAATGAACATGTACGAGAATACAGCTGTCTTTCATCAAGCCATGTTAAGAGGTTTGCATAAATGTACAATTCCTCTCTCTTGGCTTTTACGTTTTGAAAATATGGTTATTTTTCCTAACAGCAGTAACATGTAATGAGTTTAAGTTCGATTCAATTAATATTTAAATTTTTGCTTTAATTTCTAATTTTGTCAATAGCTATAGCCCATAAAAACAAAAATTATTACTGAAGAGCTTTTAAGGGTGTGAAGGATGAGGCTGGAGGATTAAGCCTAGCCTTGGCAACTTTGTGAGACCCTGACTCAAAAAAGGTGCTGGGGATGTAGATCAAAGCGAAGGCTCTGTGTCCAATCCCCAGTACTAGGGAGGAAAAAGTGTATAAAGAGATCTCTATCCTTAGACCAAAAAGTTTGGGAATACTACTACAGGGCAATAGTAGGACAGCAGTCAAAAGATGGGGTTTTACCATTAATTCTACCCCAGATTTTTTGCTCTTAAGTCTAGTAAAAATTGCCACTAATTTGTCAATTGTGAAAATATGGTTCTTCTAATGTCTGTTATTTGCTGAAAACAAAGTTCTAGTGTTTTAGTTATTTGTTCAATAAAAGAAATTTAAAATCCATATTCTGAGTTTATTATTTAAAACACATTTCAGAAATTGAATGTGGCATTTGATAAGTCACTCTTACCTTTACAATATCTGGATTATTGGACAGTCTCAGCACTTTGCATGCCTTTGCTAATCCAATCCCACGCAGTGATGAGAGATAGTCACAGCCGGAAAGAATACACATGTAACGGAACTTCTCTTCTGTAAATATGTCCCCAAGCTGTCTGCACATTCCTAGCCGAGTCTGGTTAATTTCTAGTCCATTTCCAAACTGGTCCATTTTTAAAATTACCTTCAGAAGGAATGGAAATAGTTAATACTTAGTAGGATAACTATAATTCAACATGATTTAATGCACTGCAATTCTAAGAAATCATTGTTCTTCACTGTAACACTGAGACATAGGAGAGACAAGTAGGCTGGGTCTGACTATTAAATTTGCAAATAAATTAAACTGAAGCATAGGACAGAACTACAGGTATAGAACCAGGACTCCATTGTCAACTGGTATAAATAAATTAATTCAACCTCTCTACTCCTACCTTTGTCACAGGGCTGTCATGATGATCAAATAATGTATACAAAGAGCATTTCCTCTTACCTCCTTCTTTTACATTTTGAAGTAATCTTTTATTAGTAAAGCAATATATAATTTGTTGTAGGGACTTTGGGATACACAGAATTCCAGAAGAAAAAGAAATTGTCCATAACTTCTCATTTATCGTTACCCAGGATTAACCTTTTAATATAGATTCCTCTAGTCATCAATGAATGATATAGACAATATAAATATTGCTATTAACAAAAATTAGATCAGCCTATAGTTTTGTATCTTAATTTTTCCCATTAACATACCATGATCAAGTTTTCCATTAAAGTTTTCTACATAATTTTAAATAACTGAATAACATCCTCTTAGTAGACATGCTAGTTAATTTACCTAATACCTAGTTGAAAAATGTAAGTGTTATGGTATCATTATTAAAAAGTAAAATTAGCTGGGCGTGGTGGTGCACGCCTGTAATCCCAAGCTGAAGTAGGAGAATCGCTGTGAGTTTGAGACCAGCCTGGCTACATAGTGAGTTCCAGCTCAGTCTCAACTACATAGTGAGACTCTGCCTCAAAAAAAACAACAACAAAAAAGTAAAATTAGTGAGTCTACAGTCTATTAAAGGATTTATGGGCTGGGGATGTAGCTGAGCGGCAGAGCTTATTAACATACGAAAGGGCAGGGGATTTAGCTCAGTGGTTCAGCTGCCTGCCTCTCAAGTGCAAGGACCCAAGTTAGATCCCAGGTACCAAAAACAAAACAAAACAAAAAAAAAACCAAAACAAAACACAAAAAAACCTTGGGTTTGATTCCCAGGATACCCGCACCCCACTAGTTTCAATAGAACAACAAAATTCTAATCTTTAAAGGCTTACTCTGAAAAAGTGTCCAGATTAGTCAGACAAATATTATCAGCAAAACCTTTCACTTTAAATAATTATGAACGATATGCATGTTTCAAGTGGTATTGAAAGCCGCACTGGTAGATATGTAATAATAAACATACATTATTAATATGCTAATGACTCTGCTCATTTAATGAGAAATAAAACTAATTTATGGATGGATACTTTAAAAATTACGATTATAAAAATTGGATATAGTACATTACAGATGAAAACTGGTGGTAGTAAACAAAATAATTATTCCTGCAAAGGAAAAACTTCAGCTCCCTGATTTACACTACTTCTATCAACATAGTAGTATACAGTAGTTGCAGCCAAGTACCTTTTTACAGCCAAAAGCTAGAAGATCGGAGTCCTCTGTGATTATAGCTTGCACAATACCGGCTTTGTTAAGGTAGGCCAACTGTGCGTCCGCTTCATAGGGAGCCACGAGGCAGTCCACCCCCAGAGCCCGAGCCGCCTGAGAGAGAGAGAGGGAGAGCACAGTGAGTGTCCAGCAAGGCCTCTAGAAAGAACTAAGCAACTTCCGGCTCAAACCCGTTTTATTACTGCTCTCAACCTGCATATGCTAATATTATTTACAGAAGTATTTTTCCACTTTTAGTTCTAGTATATTTTACACTAGGTACACAGTCACTAAGAAATTTTAAAACATCAGTTTATAAGTTCGGATAAAAGAAATATTGCTATAAAATCAGAGGGTGGGAAGAAGCCTACAAGATATAAAATTATTTCAAATTAGAATGCTTCCATTTGAAGAATGGCTATGTCCCCAAAGTATATATTTATTTAGTTTTGTATATAATTTCCCCATTAAAAAAATGACCCACTAAGCTACAAAAGCCTATTACTATTGTGTTGATAAAATTCTAGATGCTACTCTAACACATTTAAATGAATCCACTAAGAAAAGTATTTTATAGTAATTGCCAAAAATAAGTTCCTCATCACAGGTAGCTGGTATACAACTTCCTTGTTCTGAATCATGGGTCACAGCTTCCAAGGCCCAAGGAGAAGTTTGGGGAAGTCAAGAAATGGGGATATGATGCATCAGGATGCATCATACCATGTGCTTTTTTTTTTTTTTTTTTTGTT